TCAGAGCTCTCTCAGCCACACCTACCTCACAGGGTGTCTGTTGTGGGGAGAGGAAGGGAAAGGAGTTTGTAAGCCGCCCTGAAACCCCAAGTGAAGGGCAGGGTATAAATCCAATCTCTTCTTCTTCTTCTCAGTATAATTTCAAACTAGCTAAAATTCCTATTCTTAACTGGTAAAGCCCGTTTTCTAGTTTATAAAGCAAGCTAGATTGGTAAGTATTAATTTCAGGGTGAAAGTTAATTTTCTCCTGTTGGAATCAGAAGGAATAGAAACTTCTGAATCATACTCATAGCATGAAGTGCCCTGACCAAAAAATTATGTAAACAACGTTTTTTATCAACATGGCTGCAGTCCAGAGTAAAATGTGCACATATGGTTATTTTCCCATGGTTCACACAGAGAATTTCCCACATCATTAACAAGAATGGGGAAGTGGCTGTGTGTACAAAGCTGCATACCACGCATGCCGTCCAGCTTTCAGGATGGCAGCCAACAGATCTCTGTCCTGCTTCATAATTTTTCTCAAAATAGCTGTGAATTGGTGATCTTCCCCTGTTGTTTCTGTTAAAATATTGTGATTCGTATCATCTTATATAGTACAGCTGCAGTTGAAAATCAGTTCTCAAAAATTTATTTCTTCATGCTAATAACTGATGTGAGTGTTAAGCAAGGAGGATGGGTACAGTTATACCTTGCTATTTAGCAAAGAGTAGAGTTGATATTTAATTGACATCCAGTTAATGTTATACTACTAGAAATACTGGAACAATTTTCATAAGCATCTTTATAGGATGAAGTTTTTGTTCAAATCAAAAGTTGTGGTGTTGTGTATGTCCAGAAAGATTTCACTTGGAATGAAGAATGTGTTGCTCTGTTAAAGTGGAAGCTAACCTTTCCAGTACGTTAAAAGTTTGAGAAGTTCCAGTAAGGACTTCCAATTGCCAATGGTGCACCTTCTTTGTTTAATTCACTCCACAGATTCATTTACCTTACCCCTGTTTCCTTGCAATTGTGAGAAAATTCACATAGAATATTTGGGCAAGTCAGCAAATTTTGCTTGCCTTGGTTCAATGCACACGTTGTTAGCTACACAATAAAATGTGCTTGCAGCAATTTAAAATAAGGGCCCAAAGTGGTTGAGTAACTTGACCCTCATGTAGGTTAAGTGAGCATCATTTGCTGTTGGCCTCAAACTATTTCCATTTTGATTGGGATAAAAAATCATTTTAATCTCATAATGTAAGCACTGGGATATACAATTGTTGCAAATCATTTATCAAGTTAGTTGCTCTCGTTCCCTGGAGGTAGCCAAGAATCTAATTGTATTTCAGCGTAAGTAGCACTGTGTCCCTAAAAAAAAAAAATCACAGAGCTTTAACCCAACAATGATTTTAAAAAATGATGAGTGACTATATTTGTGGCCATGAGGGCTAATTATTGAAATGATCCAGCTTTGTCCAAATGCTACTTCATATCCTGTAACAGCCACACCGTGGCTCTGCTAAGTGATCTCTTCTTTAGCTCTTGGTGTGACCTGGTCTGTGGTGGGACTTCAGGCTGTCTGAAATTCTATTCTTTTTACATACGCATTTAATTCTTCTTTAATGAAGGCTCATAAATATGACCCCCGCCCCACTGAACCAGCCTTCCAGAGTTTTACAAGTTCTATACACTGTTTCCTCTTCCAGATGAAACAAGGGGAGAAGGGAGGAGAAAGACAGCATCCTATGATGGACGTGAGACAGTTTTTCCATGGGCATTCTGTTTCCTGAATCTCCCTAAGGAGTAATTAAAGTGTTTGGCCATTAGATATGTAACTTTTCTGGAATATTTACAGCCATGGAGTGGGCAGAACAAATGGTGGTATTTCTAAAAAAATTACTGTCCTGCTTTAAGAATAAATCATTAAGATATGCTAGCCTATTATCATATTAAATTTAAGTGCCTGCCACTTTTTTCCCAAAACCCCCCCTGCAAATACACCTGATACCAGGAAGAGACAGAGAGAGCTGCATTGCTAATTTGTTTATTTTATTTATTTATTTATTTATTTCATTTATTTCCCCGCCCTCCCCGCCAGGTGGGCTCAGGGTGGCTTCCAAAAACTGATAAGCAGTATACATTTTACAGTAATAGAATAAAATACATCATTTAAAAACAGACAAGTCAGTATAAAACATTCATTCGATGGCGATAAAAATAAAGTGCAGTTTAGGGACACATTCAGCGGTGCCACCGCGCTAGGTCGTGTTGGATCGGAGTTCACACAGGGCGCTGCTGGTAGGACGTCGCTCCTGGCGGAACGCCTGCCTAAAAAGTTCTGTTTTCACACCCCTGCGGAACTGTGACAAGTCCCGCAGGGCCCTGATCTCGGCAGGAAGCTCGTTCCAATAGGACGGAGCTACAAACGAAAAAGCCCTCGTCCTGGTTGCCATCAGCCTAACTTCCTTTGGGCCACGGAGGTCCAGGCGGTTTTGGGATCCTGATCGCAGTGCTCTCTGGGGAACATACGGGGACAGGCGGTCCCTCAGGTAGGCCGGTCCCTGACCATAAAGGGCTTTAAAGGTCAAAACCAGCACCTTGAAACGAATCCGGAATGCTATTGGGAGCCAGTGCAGAGTCTTAAGCACAGGCTGGATGTGCTCCCTCCTGGGGAGACCCATCAACAGCCTGGCCACCGCATTCTGCACCAGCTGCAGCTTCCAGAGTTGCACCAAGGGCAGCCCCATGTAGAGAGCATTGCAGTAGTCCACCCTCGAGGTGACTATAGCATGGATCACTGCAGCCAGATCATTGCATTCGAGGAAGGGAACCAACTGCCTAATTAGCAGAAGATAGTAAAAGGCTGCCTTGGCAGCGACTGCTACCTGGGCCTCCATTGTTAAGGAAGCACTCCCAGACTCCTGACCCTCAGAGCTGGCACCAGCGGCGCCCTACCGAAGGCTGGGAGTGGGATCCCTACCCCCGTACTGCTCTGATTCAGGCACAGGACCTCCGTCTTCGTCGGATTCAATTTCAATCGACTCAGTCTAAGCCATCCAGCCACGTCCTGCAACGCCCGGTCCAGATCTTCAGGGGTAGAGTCAGACTGACTGCCCAACATCAGATAGAGTTGGGTGTCATCCGCATATTGGTGACAACCCAGCCCATGCCTCCGGGCAATCTGGGCAAGGGGGCGCATATAGATGTTAAATAACATCGGGGAGAGCACAGCCCCTTGGGGCACACTGCACACTAGTGGGTGCCTTCGGAACTGCTGCTCCCCAATGGCCACCCTTTGTCCCCGACCTTGGAGAATGGAGACAAGCCATTGCAAGGCAAGCCCCTGAATTCCCATGTCGGCAAGGCGGTGGACAAGCAGCTGATGGTCAACCGTGTCGAACGCCGCCAACAGGTCTAACAACAGCAGCACTGCCGTCCTGCCCTGATCCAGATGTCTCCGGAGGTCATCCGTGAGAGCGACCAGTACTGTCTCCGTCCCATGGCCCGAGTGAAAACCGGACTGGAAAGGATCTACAATGGAAGTGTCATCCAGAAAGCTCTGCAACTGTATCGCCACCGCCCTCTCTATTAACTTGCCGAAATAAGGCAATTGCTAATGCTGCATCCTAAGCACTCATATTGACATTTGAGAAGCAGGCAAAAATAAAAGCTGAAAACAGAAACTGAGAGTGTTGTAGCAAACAAAAAGATTTATTATTCAGACTTGGTAACAGTCGTTACACAGCCACGGTATAAAGTGGCTGTATCAGCAAATGCAGATATAAGTGTTAAAAATTTATCTCTTGTATAGTGTAGTGTCATCATATACACATTATGTCGTATTAATTGTACACAGAACTAGCTGCTTGTGACTAAAGTATATCATTGGTAATGGGTTGTGGATGCAAGTGGTATATATCCCCCAAAAATATCATCATGGAAACAAACGTTTTTAAAATTTGTGTTTTCACAGACAAAAAGTTCAGGGTTTTCCATAAGGCCTCACATAACAGGGACTTTGTTGCATGTCGTATTCTGTACTATTTGACCTCTTGAAGAAGCCTCTTTTGGGCCGAAACACATCAGGTCATATATTGTTCTCTTTTGTGCATTTGTCACTTTATTTTATGAGGCTTCATTTGTGCCCCTACAAGGTTTTTATATGCTTCCGAAATAAACACATGTACTTTTGTCTATACCTATTGATGTTTTTAACTTTTGGCCCTTAATTAGTTTTCTAAATTTCCTTTGGAGGTTTTTGCTTGGTTTGGTTTGGTTTATTCTTGCCCTCTCTTTGTGGGTGCTCACATATATAGGCCCGTGTGTTTCCCTTTTTAATCCACCTTTGGACATGTTTGCAATGGGAGCGTGAGTTTATTATGTGAGCTGCTTGTCTTTGCCTTGTCTTATCACCCATATCGAGGGAAACAGAATAACAGAATTTCTAGCTCTTTGTAGTTAAAATAGTTACTTTCAGAAAGATCTATAGAATCGCACATTCTGTACACCGGTGTTCCAAAATAAATCATTGGATCTACAGAACTCTGAGTGGAACGCCACTCCTGGAAAAACTTATTTCCCACTGCTGCCTGTTTTCTGCAACAGCTCCCCCCCCCCCCCCAAATGCCATCTGAAAAGCTGCATCTGAGAGTTGGGGAATCTTTGGTAATGGCATGGGAAGCATTAGAGGGAATTGCAACTTAAGTGGGAAATCCACAAAGATTGTGGATTCTTGCCTTGTGTGAGCAAAGTACCTTCCAGTAGCACAAGGGCACTGTTGGATCCAACCCATTTTATTTCACTTTCAATGAGATACATCAGTTGTACACACAAAGGAAATCATTGTTTACTCTTGCCTGTGAAAACTCATGGTACAAATAAGTCTTTAATGAACCACAAGACCTCTTTTTGTATTTGCTGCAACAGCCTAACAAGGCTAGTCCACTGGAATTGGAACCACGGTTGCCTATGATAACATTTTCAGGGTTTTTTGTTTGTTTGTTTTATTATTGCTGCAGCCCAGAAGATGGTGAGATTCATCCTGAAATCTGTAGACTATATATCCAGTTGCAGTGCTGCTTAGAAATGTATACAACAGAGATGCTAAAATCCATATGCCTACTAGGATCACTTCAGCTTCATCGAAAAGGTATTCACACACACCATAAACTTTAATTCTCTTGATCTTGTTATGTTCACTGAGTTGTCCTTCTGCACAACAGGACTTTTTACTACACAACTTTCCTTTATTAGGCTACAGCCAGGCAGCTGAAAGGGTTCTAGTATTCTTGTGCTTCTCAGTCCAGGCTGTGTCCATCCCTGTGCACACCTAGAGCTCTTTGCATTCTTAGGCTTTCCCACTGATTTTAGTAGAGAGAGCAATTCAATATGTGCCAAGGAATATGGGTCAGTTGCTTCCAATGAAAGGGGGGGAGGTTGAATCAGGCCAGTTAGTTCTACTGATGGAAGGGGAGGTCCCACTACTGACCTCCAATTCTTCCCCTTATGCTGTTCCTGAGGGTCTTCTAGGACTGTACGGTAAAAGTAAGATAAGGAGGGTCATTCAGTTGCAGCATGGTGCCAGAAGATTTTGTTTTTATTTAACAAACTTTTATCTTGGGTATTGCCCATTTTCCTAGGCAGTATTATGCCGTAGCCTGTTGTGCAGGATTAGGAGTTGGGAAGATTCCCTGCAGGGTAGAGGCAACATGGTGACTGTCCATATCTTCTGACACTCTGCTGCAAGCCACTGCAGTATAGCATAGGGAAGAACAAATTAGTGATGATCAGTAATGGTAGAGAGGCTGGTAAGTGGCTGCAAAGTTTACAGATAGCCACAGATCATATGACTGATGGGGAGGAGAGCATTCTATTTCACCAAAAACATGTCCCATTTCAACCCACATTTGCCATAGACGATATTTTAACTCTGCCTTCTTCAGTCCTTTATTTTTCTTCTGCTACATCTTCTACCAGGACAACACTGTCCAGTTTTCCATGGAGAAGTACACTGAAGCTAGCCTTACAGACATCACTATGTCCTTGCTTATTCAAGGAAGTGTTCCTGATAGCTCAAAAGGACTGAGTAAATGTTTGCACTCATGAATACATATGGCACATTCAGGCCTCCACTGGGGGGGGGGGGAAATGTGTACATGCAGGTGTTGAGCAGAAACAGACTGCTCAGTTCAGCGCTTTGCTGCCTTCACCTGCCTCATGGAAATACAGCAGCCCTGCAGAATCAAAGCCTTGGGCTTTCTGTTACTTTTTATATCTTTTGAACAGTTCAGTTAGATATCCAAGTTCAGACTTTTTTTTCCTGCAGGGAGGTGACCTACAGGAAGAAACCGAGGCTTGTTGTACAGAGTGGAAACATCTCAACCAAAAATAGCTCCTCTACAGAAGGAGGTTGAGCTGTTTTAGTACAGATGTGCTCTTGCAAGCACGATGCCTTCCTCCCACACACTAATTGAGCAAAAGCAAAGCCTTGGGAGTTTGACTCTGTGCATGCTTTTTGCTGAGGACACAGTGGGGATGAGCAGCTCTTTCATCTGTTCCCTGTTTAATCTGTGCTGGTAAACAGTACTAGGAAACGTGAAAACATATTTTGCATCAGTAGAGCCTAGTTGCTATTTATAACAGATCTCTACGAGCAAAAGAGTGCTTTTACTGTGCAAAATGTTTTTCAGTTTTCATAATCTTCATGCATTAAAATTCCCCATGTCATAGGCTACCGTTTAAGTATTTTAGAACAGTATTATGAGAATGGCTGGAATGCAGCACAAGTTAGAAAGGGACATCTGTTTCAAATTTTATGTTGGCCATGAACCTCTTAGGGATGGCTTAGGCAAGCCCCTCGTGATGTCAGTGCTGTCATTCCATGCAACATTGTTCTCAGGATTATTGAGATAATGTATATGAGGCACTTTTAAAATATAGGAAATCATTATATAAGCATTAATAGTAAGTGTTTATTTCAAACCCCTTTGTTTAATACTAGTGACATGATCCTACCATTTTCTTATTGCTTCCTTTTTGAAAACCACCAAGAAAGCTATTATTATTTTGATTCCTTATATATAGTAGCAATTCTACAAAAAAAAATTTGTGTTTCAATATGTAACAGTCAACTGGATGGCCTAGGCTAGTCCGATCTTGTCAGATCTCGGAATCTAATGAGGCTTGGCCCTGGTTAGGACTTGGACGGGAGGCCACCAAGGAAGTCCAGGTTCGCGATGCAGAGGCAGGCAATGGCAGACCACCTCTGCTCGTCTCTTGCCTTGGAAACCCCATGAGGGGGGTCGCCATAAGTCAGCTGTGACTTGGCGGCACTTTACACACACAGAGGAATCAACTCAAAAACACAATGTTGCTTATAGAAATGGAGCTCTGGTTATCTCATGCTCACTTAATGTCCTTCTTGCAAGAAGGATGGAGAAACTTGTCCTGAGCTGAGAGCAATACTTTATTTGCTTAGGAGTTCTTTTTTATGCTACCTTCACAGAGCCCTCCTCAAGGAGGCATATAAATAAAATCATCATAAATGATCAATATTTGTGGGGGGGGGGAGCCTGGGGGGAGCCATTAAGAATAAGCCAGGAACATAAAAGGAGCATAACGTGTTCATAAAACAGACCTCAGACCATAAAACCACAATAAAACCCCTTTTTAAAATAGTATCAGAAATAAGTCATGGGTGTGGTAGCTGGAACTAATTTTCATGTTTTAGTTCTTAATATTATTTGCATGTCATTTTTGTGCACATAGCACATAGGAAGATAGAGGGGATTTTGTGCTTACTGACCAGTCTGAGTAACTATGGTCCCTGCCACACGGCAGGGAAAACACTGGCCAAAGTGCGGCTTTTAAAAGCCGCACCAAAAAAGAGACGCCACGGCGGGATCCCCTGGGGCCAGGGATGCGCCGGCGGAAAGACGCGCCGGCGATCCCACGGCTGGCAGTGATGCGGCCTTTCGGAAAGAACCACCTAGGTAGGTGGTTCTTTTTTGCTGCGGGGTTTGGCTGGGAGGGGCGGATTGGGAACGGGTGCAGCACGGGTGCAGCACGATTCCCAGATGTTGCTGTGGGATCGCGCCCGTTTGCTGCGGCCCCGATCCGTCCCTCTCCCGGCCCAAAACCTCTCGTGTGGACAGGGCCTATGTTTGCGTAGAAATGTTTGTTCACTGAGACTATATTTAGGATTTGCAGGGCATAACTGCCTATATTTGTATATGCTATAGGTTTTCTTAAAATTGTTCATGCTGTACATTTTGAGTGAGTAGAACCTTGTCTTTAAAAAGCATCTCACTCATTCCAAAGGTGGAAAAAACGCTATTCCTTAGGAATTTTTTTCAGTGCTTCTCAAAATTTCCCAGTTTTTAAGAGGAAAAATGGGGGGTAGGCAAGAAAAATTGGGTTCTTTCATGAGAAATTTTCCAGTGTTTCATTGGGCCTTCATATCTTTGCTGCTAGCAGGATTTTACCCTTCCCTACCAGAAACACTAAGTACTTGCAAGCAAAGGAAAAACAAATTCAGCCCAGTTGTTACCTGCTAATATTAGCAGGATTTCCCCCACTTCTCTCATATCATCTGATATTCTTGCTTTGTTACCTTCAGATGAGCCAAAACTTAATGCAGTTCTTGAAAACCTTGATAGGATGGGTGTAGGGATAAACAGTGGTTTTACTTTAATTTTCCTCTTTTTCCCTCTAATCTTTTCATATGTTTTTCATTATGATTTCAGATTCCTCTCCAATCTGAAACCATAATGGTCTGGAATCTGTTTTGTAGAATAAAAGGTGGAGTGTTATAAAAATATGACTGTTTGCATCAGTATCTCTATGTAGTGCTGTATCTTCTGTCAACCTTTAAATGTGGCAGAGTCCTTTGCAAAGGGCCCAGCTAGGTGCAATACTGACTTGCACATAGCTTATTCCTGGCTTTTTTGTCTGATTAAATGCTGCCGCGGAGGCTACACTAAAACAGAAAAGTTGTGAAAGGTAGAAGAGGTGCTAAATACATTCTCTTGTACCATTTTTGCACTAAAAATGGCCTCCATTTTATCAAACTAACTCTCTGAAAACAACCTGTTTGTGACTTGAGAAAGAGACCTAGTCCCAGCCATAGCTTTGGGGGCCTAGTGCCCTTTATTTAGCAGTGCATTGGGGGGGGGGGGATTATATATAACTGGCCCTTTCTCTGAGGAGTTTATAATCTCATTTCCAACAAGCTAAGAACGAGAAGAAAGGGTAACAGTAGTTAAGATAAACCTTATTTGCATTTAAAACAGGAAAAAAGCTTACCTCTTTACCTACAAGGTTTAAATTTTCTATGGAGTCTTCCTTGTTCCCTTGTTGTTTGTAGGCATGACTAAGTAGCTACACAACTTTTAGAAAGAATTTTAAATGTTTGTATAAATGGACCTAGGGTAGCTCATTACTCCAGGAGCCAACTGCTTTCGATGATAACTCCCCCCACCCCATATTATGAATATATAATGAATCTTGTTCTTCATTAAGCTACTTCTTCCCTTAGATCGGCACTTTCAGTTACTGTGTGTGCCATCTAGAATGTAGCTATACAAGTTTGCTGGGCACCTATTGGATGGTGCCTGTGACCTCACAGGTCCAACCCCCTCCACCGGTAACCTACCATTTTTTCTATGTTAACAGAACTGAGAACTTTCTTCAGTTAACTCTGAAGCATGAGGAATGTTCAGGTAATCGACCTGTCTTCTAAATGTGCCAAGAGTAGCCATTTTGGGGTTGTGCACTTTTCCATTCCATTGGTGAAACAAACAACCCTTAGTTATTTAGAACCATTTTTAAAATTCACAAACCTGTCTTCTGCCTTCTCAACAGGTCTGTGTCTCTTTACTGATTATCTCCCATCCTAGCCAGTGTGGTGTAGTGGTTAAGAGTGGTGGACTCTCCCTGACCTGTTTAGCCCAGGCAAGCCTGATCTCGTCAGATCTCAGAAGCTAAGCAGGGCCGACCCTGGCAAGTATTGAGATGGGAGACCTCCAAAGAATACCAGAGCCGGGAGGCAGACAGGCTATCAAGCCACTTCTCTGAACGTCCTCCATGCCCCACTAGGAGTCGCCAGAGATGGCCATGACTTCCAGGCACAGGCACGCGCGCATACACACA